CACTAACACTAAACAAGACACAGAAAAGTGAAAAGATCAGGTGGGGGTCAGCAAACAGGAATATATCCTAGACCAAGGATAGATTTAGCTGAAGATAATCTTACATATGCACTTGTGCTACAAAATTGGCCACACACATTACAGGAGCAATAAAAGACAGAATTGGAGTAACCTTTCAGAGACAACCAAACACCTTGAGAGAGAATCACCAGGCCTACCGACTCAGGACCATAGTCTTGGGGAACACCAAACTCAATTGGCACAACATAGTACATAAAAATCTTGTTCCACAACCTACTTTGGTAAGTAGCGACTGGGGTCTTAAAAGCTTTCGAGCGGCCATCTAAGATGCAACTGTTGGTCACTTCTCATCTGAAGCAAAGAAGAGTGAAGAATATAAAAATCATCTGGAAACAAGTGGTCCAAGGATATGATGGACTCCAAGATCAGAAGAACTAGATGGTGTCCGGCTACCAATGCCAACCACTCAGGAAGGGATCAAAGCTGGAGATCTTGGATAAAATAAAGTGGGAGGAAAATGTGGAACAAAATTCAAAAACACAAAAATGACCAAAATTACTGGTTGGATGGAGTCTAGTAATTGAACTCTCCCAAGGGTTGGCTCTCAGCACCTACCCTAGGGTGATGCACCCAGCCACTCTAGGGAGATATACCCCTTAGAGCAATTGGCCAAAGGGCACCAGAGGGGCAGCATTCACATAGAGGGAAAGCTGGACAGACAGGAGTGCATGGTTAAGAAGGGCACAGGGATGGGGTAGCTATAGGGAAGTGAGGGGAGGAGAGTTTGTTATGGTCAGGGATGGTAATCAGGGCGTGAAATCAAATGTATGCGAACTGTTGAATGTAAAACAAATTTTGCTCTGTAAATTTGCAACAAATGCACAGTCAAATTAAAAAAAGAAAAAAAAAGAAGAATGATGGGAGTGGGGACATGAAGCATGTGGGGGAGATGGAGACTTCACAGAGTATAGAACAGAGCTGCTAGAGCCATACTAGAACTGGGTAATTTTCAAAATGCTGGTCGACAATGTGGCTTATTCTGAGAAGAGAATTTGAAAACTCTGTTGTCAATCAAGATAGTATCAGAGAGATGTCCAAGTGTCTCCTGCTGTCCTTCTTCCCTGTGTCTCAGTGGACACTGGTGACCTCAGATGGCTAAAGCAGTCAGAGCTTGTGAAAAGACAGAACCGGACTAGGAACCAGGAATGCCCTGGTTCATGGCATTCACTCAGAATGCATCTGAGTGTATGTGGTTGGGAGGAAGGAGGCAGATGGAATTTCCATTTTGATTAAACGGTTTTTCAGTTGCATGGTTTTTTAGAGGGGAGAGGGTAGTAGAGAAAGTTGTGGCCTAAAGAGTGATAGATCATGAGTTTATAAAAATTTGTACTGTTGTTCTAGAAACTAATTGGAATTTTATGTCTATATTAGCCATTCTCCAGACTATGGCAGAGAAAGCCTGCTGGTAGCCAGGTCCCTTGAATGTACTCAGATACTTCACTATTCTTTTTTCTTTTAAGTATCTGAAAAATAATTAAAGGTATGAGTGAACCAGGGCTCTGTCAAACTTCCAGGCCTGTGAAGTTGTTCCCTTTTTCTCTTCTGAACTTTGTATGCTTTGTCCAGGCTTCTCTGCCAGTGAGGTAGGACCTTTGTCCTTTTACTACATGTGGAATCACATGGACACCACATTTACTTCTAGTGATCTATTCAGGGCACTGAGGTAGTGGGTCAGTTGCCACTAAGTGTCCTTATCCCAAGAATTGGACAAGACAGAACCACCTGAACCTCTGAAGGTTGGAAAGTGCAGGCAACAGAGTGGTTTGGAGGAAAGGTTGGTGATGAGTCCTGCAAGTTTCTTTCACTGAGAGATAGACAGCAAGTGAGTAAAGGGAGGAAACTCAAGTTATCTGGATTAGAAGGTTTGAAAATTAATAGATTTCTTAGATTGGGCCTAGGCGAACTTTGACTTGTTACAGGATATCCCAAAAATGGAATATGGCTCAGAGAGAATAGATCTTCATAGATCTGTTCTTTGGAGGCAGGCAAAATGGTACAGATATGACTTTTGAATAAGAAAATTTTGGCCCTATAAGGGAACAAGAACCTTCGATAGCATTCACAACACTTTATAGTTTAAAATGTAGAGTTTGTGATAGCATAGTTTGTCCAGGGTCGTGACATGCTAATGGAAGAGTTGGGACAAGGATCCAGTTCTTCTGGCTACTCACCCGGCATTCTTTGTCACCTCTGTAGGAGAATAAGATCTCATCACCTTTCACACCAAGCCAATTCAGTTGGCCAAGAAAAGCGTGCTTCTTCCAATTGCCAGGCAAATCCATTTGCATCTAGTGAAAAGTCAGGGGGCTTACCAAGAAAGTATTCAGCAGGGTGAGAGACAGAGATTTGATCTGGAACCCATAGCTGGAAGAAATGGGAACCCAGTGTGTGGAGCTTAGCCTGATGGTGGCTCCTGGAATCTGAAAACGGGTCACTCTAAATACTATTTAGAAAACAAATCCAGGTTGGTGTTTGCCCTCCTGTTCCTCCTGACAGCCTCCCTTGAGAGGTGGGCATTCCTGGAAGCTAACAAATCACCAACAAAGCAAAAGATGGAAATAAAACTGGAACCCATTCCAGGACTGAGCACAAATGTGTGCAAATCGTTCACCTGCTGAACCATTTGTGAATAGAGCCTTTGACATCCCATGGAACATCTTTTAGGAAAGCAAACATCTATCATGTCCAGAATACTTAGTTTTCATGTGTGTGTGTGCAAATACACAAATATACAGATACTCACATGCCTGGATGCATATTTAAAAACATACTTTGCCCAAAAAGCCATTAGTGCATGCCCCAGTGCCCAGCATTGTGCAATGTATTTTGAGTTAAGGCTGTTCAGTTAAAACATTCTGTACTGTTAATATTTCTCAATTTGGATAGATTAGCCATGACCAGGAGTAAGATAACATGGGGGTGGGGTGTACTACAGTCTTATGGATGAGGGTGTGTGTGTGTGTGTGTGTGTGAAAGAGAGATTGAGAAATCATTTGCCTTTGGCAAGGGATTAGAGGGAAAGCGAACAAACAAAATAATGGGATTGAGAAAGAGTTCTGTGGAGAGGACTGTGCGTAATCACCATCAGAAGGCTGTACACAACTGCATACTGTATGCTGTCTTCAGGCCACTGTGGCCCTAGACTGTGGCTCTAAAGAGGCCTACCTGGACGGACCACATGGTTTTGACATGCTGCTGGGTTCTATACTTAGAATTTGGAAAGTAGTGGCAATGGGTGGCTTGGCTATGTTTTCATGGGCTGGCCACTGAGGCCCAGATCCAAGCACTGCTGGCTTGAGTATATAATGATACTCCATCTCTCCACCCACAGTTTATCCAATATCAGTACCCACTCTCCATTCTTTGACTATGGTCTTAACACATGAACCTTCTGATTGTAAGAGGTTGTTTGTTCTAAGAGGGCCTCTCTTCTCTTCTGGCTGGCCTTCTGCCCTCAAATCCAGCCTCTGGCTGCCCTTGCCTGTCTTGTTCCTTGGGGTTCATAGAAGTTGTGGGCAAGGCTCAGAGACTGGGGAGGAGGTGGAGGCTGGCTCTGACAATGGCACATAAGGGCCTGAGAACAGGAGTGTGGGTGGGAGGAAAGTCAGTGTTCTTGGCCAGATGTCCCACACTCCAGCTGGCAACATGGAGCTCGGTAGTGCCATACCCAGACCCTCTGCCCAGCTCTCATCACCCTGCTTGCCTGCTTGCTACTCTGCATCTTATTGGCTCCATTGCTGGCTCATGATTGAGCAGGACCTCTGGTGGAAAAGGCCTTGGGTTGTGAGTCAGGCTCCAAGTACTGTCTCATACTGGGCCTGTGACCAGTTGTTACTGGGCCTCTGTCTCCTAAGGGATATGTGCCCAACCTGCCTCACAGAACTGTGGTGATGGCAAAATGAGATAACGCACGTGAAGTATTTTAGAAAGTCAGTAAAGGCCACTTCCATCTCATAATTGTAGATGTTACCTGGTTTCTTTATGTTTCCTTACTTATGTCAGGGCTCAACTTCTCTGGCAAGACATATAGGGAAGACACTTGTCAAGCTGAGCCTTCAGGGAAGGGTGCCTGTTGAGCAATCACTGCAGTTCTAAGAATATTTGGATGTCCTGAGAGAGACCATCTTGTGTCCATAAACATATCCATTTGTTAAAAAGCTTATTCAACACCTACTATGTGTCACTCCCTGTAGTGGAGCTGGAGATATAAGAGGGAAAACACAGGTGCAGCTCACCTGAGTCCAGCTGTCTAGCAGGGGGCCAGGCATATGAACACTCACAGCACAGTAAGGGCAGTACTGGGACCAAGGTGAGTATGGATATGGTGGCCTCCATATAGGTTTCTGTTAGTTTGACAATGACCATATGTCTGTCTGACTGTCCTGGATGCTTCTTGGTGAAATTGGATGTTTTTCTTACCCCCTTTGGCTCACATGTTGTTGTTAGTTGCTGTTGAGTGAACTTGACTCATGGCAGCCCCACATGTACAGAGTAGAACTGTTCGATAGGTTGTGACCTTTTGGAAGCAGATTGCCAGGCCTGTCTTCCAAGGCAGCTCTGGGTGGGTTTGAAACCTCCAACTGGCTAGTAGTCTAGTGTTGAACCATTTACACCAGATGGAGACTCTGGTTTCCTATATAGCAGTGAGTGAAGCAGTAGGAAGTGTTTTGTAGTTCTGTTTCTTATACAAGACAGGAACGCTTGCTTCTTGGGCAGTAATACCTGGGAAAGGGGCAATTAGGCTTTCTGAGGATCTAGGGATGTATCTGCGTCAGTGCCTGTCTCCAGCACTCATGCCGTCACTCTTCCTTCTTCTTGTTAACCTGCATGAGAGATGGCTACAGAGCCCTAGGTAGGGAGTGCACCTGCCTTCTGTCCAGCCAGAGGAGCAGCAACCTATCTTTTCCTTTCTCCTACAGGAAGCTGCACAGTGGGATGAAGACATACGGGTGTGAGCTCTGCGGGAAGCGCTTCCTGGATAGTTTGCGACTGAGAATGCACTTACTGGCTCATTCAGGTAGGCGAAAATGCCCTAATGGGCCCATCTGGGTGCAGGCAACCACCTCTGGTACCCTCCCACTCCCTGTTCACAGCCTGCTGTGCCATGGATGTCCCCCTACTGCTAGCTGGGACCTTGGTACACCTTGTTCTATGGGATAGTTGGCCATCCTGGATATTGGCTCCAGATTAATAGAGCAAAAAAGGCCATCCTGACTGCATCTGGATGAACCCATCCTCACACTCCTGGATTTCCCAGGGCATCGTTGGCACCCAGTACCCTGTGTGATCTACCTTCCAAAGTAGACTGCAGTTTCATTAGCAAAACAGTTGTGGAATTAGGCTCTCGCTGTCTAATGAATCTGACTATTGGGTTCACATTATACAGGAGCCTTTAATTAAATAGATATAGAAAGGTTGGAACACAAAGCTAGTTATAGCATGCTGGTTTTTTTTTTTTTTTTTGCAAGTTAATTTTATCCAATTCTAGTGTGGTTGGCTGTATGGCTGCTGGTATTTTTGCCCGTGTTTTGACTGGAGGATGTGAGCAAAGCTGCTTTGCCCTCTGAGGTGTGGAAAAGGGAGAGATGCTTACTATCCAGCATGCCCAGCAGTAGTCCTCAGTGGATGGAAGGATGCAGCAGCCCTGATTCTGCTGCTTCAAGGATAAGAGCTTGCAGAGGCTTCACCACTTCCCTGCCAGGGACAGTTCCCTCTTCCTTCCAATTTCCTTGCCTTTCAACCTTGGACTCACTTTTTCAGAGAGGGGAGAGGGGTTATCTTCTTGAATTCTGATCAAAACGGGGAAATATGAAACAGAATTTCAGATTCTCAATGGAACCCAAACTTTCTGGAGACTTTCAGGCCAGAGGAACCCCTGGAACTATTACCCTGACATAGTTGTTAAACTTTAAACCTTAAACCAAAACTATCCCCTGAAGTCTTCTTTGAGCCAAAAAATAGTTTATCTTAATTAGTAAAGTACATCGCCTTTGAGCATTGTGCTCCTTTAAGGAATTATCTGTGTGAGATAAATTGACAACGGCAACTTGAAAGGCTAGATGAGAAGCTTAGGGGGCAGTGAGTTTAAGATAATGAGGTAGAATAATTTGGAAAAGGATAATGAGAATGATAGTACAACTTGAAGAATGTAAAGAGTGTCACTGAATAGTACATGTAGAAATTGTTAAAATGGTGTGTGTGTGTGAGATTATGCATACTTTCACCAAAATAAAAGAAAGAGATAGATAGATTAACTTCTTATTTGGTTATGCTTTTCCCTCATGTACTCAACTGCCAGCCTCTACTGGTGCTTTCACTATGTGGCCTCAAGTATCTGACCGTGGTGGGCATTTTAGCGTTCATGAGAACGGCATGAACCAATTTTTTTGTGGTTAGACAGATTTGGGGTTCAAATCCTGTTTGTGATATGTGCTATATGACCTCAGGCAGATTTAGCTTTTGAACTGTTTTGCATTTGTAAAGTGCAGGTATGATTAACTCATGTAATTTCTTCTTTATAGAATTAGGTGAGAGGATGTATATGTTAAAGGCATGCATAGCATGATCCCTGGCATATAATTGGTGTTTCATAAATGTTGATTGCTTTTGCTTCCACCTTCCTCCCTTTTCTGCACTTTGGAAGCTGTCACCCTGGAACGTGTTCCTATCACCTTACTCCAGAAGCTTCCTGCCTGGCTGTCTCTTTCCACTCTGCCCACACCCCCGTCTATTGAGCGTACCATCATATTAATGCTATTGGTTGGTTTTCGTGCTTCCACTCACCACTGCCTTGCTTCAGAGTCTGTGTGTTGGATGTTATCTGTCTTCTTGGACTTCATGGCTCTTCCTAAAGTACCCTAAGTATTTGCTGTTATTCCCATTCTTGCCTTTTCCAGATCCAAGGACTCAAGCTCATCAGGAGCCATCTGACCGTTCTGTCTCCATGTCTTGGTGTGTTCCATGCCTCCTTCCTGTGGAGCCTCCCACTCCCACACCTTGTTCTATTGAACCATCTCTATCTGTCCTCCAGCCTTGCCTTGGCCTGGAGTCGTGAGCCTAGTCATTCCTCTGTTTGGCCTCTGCTCAGTACTCATGTACTCTTTTTGCTCTGTTTTAATAGCTTGCACCTTGTATCTTCCTCAGCTTTGCACTTTGTTTAGAGTTCAGTGTGTGCTTTGAACGTGCTTTCCTACCCTGAAAGCAGAGTCTGGGTGTTCCCTCCTCCAGACCCCTGTGGGGTCTCTTAACTATATGGTGCTGGGTACTTAGATGGTGGTAATACACTTTCAGTCTGTTGTTAAAGCTCCCTTGCCCTTTCTGTAACTCAGTCCCCAAAAGCATTATTTCTCATTACTCCTGCTTTAAACCCAGACTCCAGGTTTGCTTTATGTGCTTCTCGTTTTGGAGCTCAAGCCTTTTTCACTCTGTTCCCTCTGCCTGGAATAGACCTTCCCCAGTCTTCCCACACCCAGGTCTTCCCTAGTGCTATCCCCCATTCTTTCCCACCTCCAGCAGGAAGTATTTGTGCCTTACTCTGGGCACCCATATTCCTTTATCTGATGTTATCTTTGGCCACAGTCATTCTTCTTTGCATTATAGTTATTTATGGACTTGCTTTATGTCCTCTACTTGGGAGACAGAGTGATAAAGTAGAAGAAATTTGGGCATCTACCTCCTGACTGTGTGATCTTGGAGAAGAAGAAACATAAGCTCTTTTAGCCTCAGTTTCCTCATCTGTGAAATGAGAATACTTGTACCTCAGAGAAGTTGGGAGGCTCAAATTTGATGTGTGATAGGCTTTTGGTAAATATAATTTCTCTTTCTCTTCCTTCCTCTAAGAGATGATTAGCTACTTGGGTACAGACGCTTTCCCTGTTATGTCCAGTGCACTACCTGGCACACTGTTGGTGTCAACAAATAATTGTTGAATGAATTTGTTGAGTATGAAGTACAGGTGTTACTAACTCACTTAATTTTTTTTTTTTTTTTGGAGGATTAAGAAAGAGGGTATATGTTAACAGCATCCATAGCATAGTCCCCAAACATATAGTTGATGATTAATAAATGTTGATTGTGTCTGTTTCCACTTCCTGGAAGCCTACAGGCTCCCTGCAGTCTCCTGCCTGGTCTGTCCTGGTTAGGCTATGTCTGAGGGTTCACTGGGGCCAGCTGGAAGCCCATTTGGCCCATATCACACCTCTCTTCCTGACAGTGTGACTACCTTCTCTGTGTGCTCCTTTAACAGTGTTGCAGGGGTGGGGAGGGACAGGTAGACAGTAGAAGGAGAAGAGCTGCTTACCTGCTTTAGGGTGAGCCTGGAGTTCCCAGTTCAGAGAAGATGAGTGACTTTGCACTCCCAACTTTGTGGGGCCTGTGATTCCCTGGGAAATGCATTCAGAACCCAACTGAGATGCCACTTGAAGGCCCCATGGTCTATGGGAGTTTTTCCTTTCAGTGCCTATCTTACTGGGTACTGAAGGCTGATTGTGTCAAATGATTTGTTCCTCTAAAGTTCACTTGCCAATGTCCTTGTAAAGGAAGATTTGCTGATGGGGGAGGTATGCTGAGTCATAATAGAGTTTTAATTTACCCTTGCAGATAGCTCATAGCCTACTTAGAGTCTGATATTTCCACTTTCTATTTTTTTCTATCGTCCCGCATACCTCTCACCTCTGTGCTAGAATGACTTAAAAATAAGATACCATAAAAGGGCTTGGTGAGGCTAGAACGCTTCCTGAATGGTTTGACCCCCTTGTTAAGAAGTGAAGGCCCTTGGGGCCTTGTTGGGAGCTAGGGTCAGGGACGTAGGTTGGGGGTGCCAGGTTGTTCTGATTCTAGAAGCAAAAGTCAGCCTTGCACATTCTGATTGCTACTCCCTCAGCCACCCGATAACAGAATGGTGTGATGCATTAGAGGAGACCTTTAATTTTATGACATGAGGTCGTTTTGTTGCTGCTCTGTTTTGATGGAATGAGAGCTCCATGCAGGGAACTGACAGCATGGATTGTCCCTAAAGGTTTGTACTGCAGACCCATTTTACAGAAGTTAACCAAGGGTTGGAGCAGCAGTGCAGAGCCCAAGAGAACAAAAGTTGCTCTAGAACCTTGTGGACCATTTTTTTTTTTTTTTTTAAAGGGAGCCTGTGGTGAAGTGGTCTGGGGACTGGATAGGGGCAATGGATCCTCCTGGCTTCCCTCAAATGTTATCACTGTCCTTGCACGGGGCACAGGCACAGGCACATTCCTGCTGTTTTCTTCTGCTCAGCGGAGCTGAACTGCACGCACTTCCTCGCTAGCTTGGCGTGCTCGGTCCCCACCCCCCTTTTGGCGAGCACTGCCTGTGTTTGTTATTGTAGTTCTGGCACTGAGCCAGGCCTGGCTAGGCGCCAGGCTGTGGGTACAGTATGTACAGTGAGTGCTGAGCCAAGTTTGTCATCATACAAGATTAATTTTTTTTTTTTTTTTCTAATCTGGTGGGGTGGGTGAAGGAGGAGGCTAGTAGAGTTTCTCTGATGCTTGAGAAGAGGCCACATTGAATTCTACAGAGATGTTATTTATGAAAGGAATAAAGAATTCAAGCTTGTTTCTCCTGCTCAGTTTTTCCTCCTTTCTCTCATTTTCTTCTTCCTGTCCTCCTCATTCATTTCCCTATCGGGTGAAAACAGCCCTTATGCTCTCTACAATGAAAAGGCTCATTTTTGGTGACTATAATACTAAATTTATGCTCCTAAATCAGTTTTCATTGTGTGGAAATTGACAATTTGTTTAATTAGAAGTTTGCCCTGTAGGAGGCCCTTCTTCAAGAGAGTGCTTTCTTTTTTCTTCCCTCACTCCTCCATCCCCCCTTTATAAAACCCTAAATGGTAGTAGTAGAAGTTTTTGATTTAAATGTGTTAACTAATCAAGTTTATGAGATATACTTGATGATACCGTAAGTTTAAATTAACAAACAGTAACTTAATTCATTAACTAATGGGGTTGGTCTGGCCATACCCTGCATTCTTAGAAATGAATTTTG